TTCACTGTGTTCTTTCAAGTTAGTCTTTCCAAATCTTTGCTTACATAAGCAGTTAGAAGCTGGAATAACTCTGAACTAGTTACGCAATGTTGTCTAGTTACCAGGATGCACTGTTGCCACAACATCCATGGAGATATCCTCTCTGTATCTGCACTTTTACTCTTTTTATGTCCGTATATTTTGTCAATACATTAACATTTTTTCGGAGAGCATATACCGTATGACAACCTCCATGAAAGGGTATAACTTTTCTTCCTAAAAATAGGCTGATGCAACAATTTTTCCAAAAGGGAAACTAGTGAACTTTGCTGAAAAATGCAAATCCAAAGGACACTTAGGAAGGAAGACTATGTTTTACGACTGTGCTTCTCAAAGTCACAGAAACAGCACAGTATCTCTTGCACTGATTCAGCTGATCACTTTCCTGATCCCAGAAAAGAAGATAGGAAACCACAAGTCTTTTTCTCTCAACAGCCCTTCTGGCAAAATGATGCGAGATGATCTGGGCTAACCTGAAATTACTCAGGGCTGCACCTTACTGTTCCCTGGGGAAAGAAGACAGGGAATCCCACAGCTGATACCCAGTCTGTCAGGAAATCCTCTTGGCCCTGCCTTCTAAATATATGCAGCATCAGATCACTCACCACCACCTCCTCCGCTACCACCCTGGATCAAGGGATGCCTGCCTCCTGTCTGTTCTATAAGTGTCCTAATTAGTCTCTTTGCTCCCCTCCACCACCACCCTCAGCTGATTCTCAACACAGCAGCCAGAGTGAACCTGTTAAGACGTAAGTCAGATCACGCCCCCCAACCCCCAAAGGAAACCCTCCAGGGGCTCCTCCTCACTCCCAGTCTCGCCTTTGGCACGATCTCACTGGCCTGGAGTGCCTCCCCAGATACTCATCTCACTTGATCCCTTCATTCCTTCAGTTCTTTACTAAACCATCGCCCTTCACATGACTCTTGTCCCGGCCAAACTACCCAAATGCACCCGTCTTCCTATCTGACTTCAGTGCTTTCCGCGCCATTGCATTTTTTCCATTTACTATACTATACAGTTTTTTTTTTTTGAATCTGTGAATTGCCTGTCTCCGCCACTAGAATATAGAATGTAGGCTTCTCTGGGGCAGGTGTTTCTGTTTTGTCCACATTTTCTTAAGTCAGGAACAGTGAGTGGCACATCATTACTCAAGAAACACTGAGAACCAAAAGTGTGTGAGTGGGTGTGCTCCCAGTTATCCTACCACACAGCTGCTATCCAGTGAGTCAGGCACTGTAAAGACGCAGGATTAGATGGGGGCACTTTTATTACTGAGGTACATACTGTATTTTCAGTTACTTCTGAGGCATTTATACTTTCCACCAGCTGGAATGTCCCTATCAAAACCTTACCCCATCTCTGGTCAGGTCACGAACTGACAATCATTACACTTGGCATCTGAAGTACACTGAAACTGCCACTTGTTTCTTGTGCTAAACGAAATTCCTCTCTAGCTAGGTTTTAAGTTTCTTGAGGTCAGGCAGCCAGCATGACATCCTGTCTTCAGTATCTTGGATAACCCCTCCATCCAGTTTGGCTTTAAATATTTTGACTGATGGAGCAAAAAAGACTATAAACCTTGATTTTTTTCCTATAATGAAATTGTAAATTCTCAGTTTATTGTGAAGAATTAGTTTAACCTGAAAACTGTCCCAATCCTAAAGAAAGGCATGTCCATCACCTACACAGTTGCCAGAATGAGTACAAGAGTACTCCTCTTGCTCTCTGAGAAGAGCCCAGTGTTCTGACAGTCAATCAGAAGGATACTAGCAAGACTGTCAACTTCATTTTGTTCATTTGTGGGATAAATAATAGTAAAATACATCAAAATTTAGGAATATATTTACCTAAAAATAACAACTTTAATAATCCTTGAGTATTTTAAACAAATTTTGTTTAGCCAGGATTTTTTTTTTAATACTTCATATTAAGATACAGAAGAGAAATTCCAGTCTTGCTTGCCTTCTAGGGGAGAAGGGCTGAGGATGCGGGAGGATCTGGAACACCCCACGTAGCCGTGTCACATGTCAATGCTAATGCTAAATGCCCTCTTACAATTTTGATGACAAAACCCTGGTCTGTTTCTAACAGAATAAATGAAAATAGTAAAAGACTCAATGGGAATCTTGAACTAAATAATATTTAAAAAATCAGGATATGACAAGTGACAATGTAATTGGAATAAAGACTCAGAAATCTGAGATCAACATTTTAAAACTATGTCTACGTGACAGCCAGTGTATCTATCCCGTTACAGAAACATTTTTTTACAACATAGCTTTTAAAATACAGATTGGCAACAGCTTATTTTGATCCTGAAATATTGTATCAAATTTCCTGCCTGGCAGGAGAGACACAAGTGCAAGCCTCGAAGACACCAACTGTTTGTATGCCATCATTTCTCCTCTGTAGTAGGAAGGCCTCAGAGCACAGACAAGACAGCAGTACACTCTAATCTATAAATCATCCTGAATATAATATTAAATCAAGTCAAAACAGGAGTAGAAGTCAACTATTTCTTACACCGAAACAAATCTGCTTTTCTCCTACTAAGAAATTTCACAAAATAAGGTTTGAAGAGTAACCTTTTTATATCTCATCTTGATGAAAATGCATTTTTAAGGAAACACTCTTCCAGTCTACAAAAACTAAACAAACGATCCCCCAAAATAAACAGTAACCACAATAACAAAAACCCAAACCACCTTCAAACACTGCTTTTTTTGGCTTCCAATATTTCACTAGGTTTTTAAATTATAATCATGTGCAAAGTTCACACCACAATAGTGCTTCATGCCAGAATAGAAACAAATCTCCTTTACAATTATGTCTGATTTGTCATGCAGACGCAAAAGAAAAGTAGCCAATATATAGAGGAGATTACAGATTAAGAATTACTTACCACTAGATTAATGGAAAGGCAAATAATTATAGTGACTTCACTTTAGTTTTCTAACCCAATGGGCTAAAAGGAAGATACATACTTTGAAAATATAAAGGAAAGCACTTTAAAGATATTCCTCATAAAAATCTAAATGCTTTATGAGCACATATGTCTTCAGAAAATGTGTTAGTAAAATAAACAAAATCCGGAGTCTTTAGCTTGCCTGGAAGTAAGCAGCTATCTTCCAGATTTTAAACAAATCTACCTAGCTGGGACTTCAGCAGCCTAATCCCAAACCAATTTATAGCAAACAAGCTTTTGTCTGTGTTTTCTTGTTTGTTTTGTTTTTATGTAGCATCAAGCACACAACTTCAAATAACAGTGGAGTCTTTTAATGCTTATATATTGGGTTGAACCATGGGAAATCATTGATATTAGACTGTTTTGCCTACATAGTGGCAATTTCACATAATTCAGCCTAATATTATTCCTTATGTGAAGAACAACTGTATTTTTCAGTCTTATTATCCTTTTCTGTAGCACAACTGCACACTTGTCAATGCTCTGTCTTCTCAAAGTCCCACATACTGTACTTCTGAGTTAGGGCCCTGTGACTTAGACACACTGACTCTGGAACGTCTGTATCCCCACCCAGGGACAGACATCCTGCCATCACATGCTAGGTGACAGGTATGCCCACCTCCATAGCACACTATCAAGAACACCTGGATTCCTCGGGTCATGAGGCTTTGCAAACTTGGAAGGGCACCAGCAGGGAGAGTGAGTCTCAAAGCATGGACCTAAGGTTTCTGATGATCTCTGATATCCTCCAGTCCAGAAACATGCAATTAAGCCTGAAGACTACCTCACAAGAAAGCAGCTCCGGGACAGAAAAATCCAACTCACCAGAATTTGTACATTCCAACAGCATGCCTTTCGGGTAATTCACTGAACCATAAATATGTTGAGCACCTACTATAATGTAAGAACTGTGGCAAGAATTCAGTGTCTAGTTAATTTTTAATGTTGTAAGTAAGTTATTAATGCAGGAATGCTCATAGGGTTATTTTACAAACATGAACGTTGTAACAGACAAGGCCACAGACCCACTTGAAGTTCCAGTTGTCACCAATGATTCCTGGACTTCTTTGACAATCAGTCCCTAGGTTGACCCTCCAGCTGACTTCCTGCCTCTGGAACTTCTCATGAGTGACCTAGGAGTCTTCTGCGCCATGGGACTAACACTGAAAAGACCCTTTAATAAGCAGACTTCTTCCTGATACAAGACAGACTGAAGATAGACTAGTCCTCTGCAGAATTTCTTTACAATACGTATAATTCTTGAGATCTAGTGGAGAGTTTGTAATGTAACGTCAAGTGTTTGTTTTTTCTGGCCACGTGTTAATTTACCCCAAACATTTAACTATACTGACATCATCACAGTAGTGTTGCCAAAGACCACGCCACTCCTCCCATTTGTTTTCATGACTGCTTTTGCCCTGACTAGCAGAGCTGACAGCAGAAGTGACCTGCCTTGCAAAGATTAAGCAGTCTCAAACGGAAAGGCTAAAAGTCTCAATTTGTGAAGACTTTGGACACATTTAGTAAATAAACTATATGTATGCAATTTTTTAAAAACAAAATTGCATGTGTTAGAAGTACTTCTTAATTTCTGCATCATCCATCAAGAGAGATGAACAAAGGGAAATGGCTACTTTGATTACACTTTCTAATGAGACCAGAAGTAAGTTTAGCACCTCTGAAAGGCAATTACCAAAGAAGGAATCTGTTCTGTGACAGCAAGTGGAGTGTCATGTGGGCGGCACCCTAATAGGAGATGAGACAGTGAATGTGGATTGGATTGAAAGTCATCAAATTAAAACTTTTCTAAAACTGGTGCTGCTCCCCCTTGTGGCCATTTAGACACATTGTAAGTATGACTTGTACAAAGTTTTTTCTGTGTTAAGATGTTAAGGCTACTTAGCCTTTTTTTTAATCTCCTCTCCCACACAATTTTTAAGGAAAATGAATTGTGCCAAACAATTAAATACCATTTAAATGCCAAAGGAAACTTACTGTGGTAGAATCAAAAGAAAGGATGTCCACAACAGGGGGAGTGGAGGTCTGCAAATCGATTACATCAAGCTTTGGATTAATCTGTGTATATATATTAAAAAAGCTAAAATTAGATTTTTATACCATAAGAAACTGCATGCCATTTGTAACAATTTAGAGGTATTTCCTAATATATTCTAAAACTGAAATATATTGGTACATTCAATGACATGAATATAAAAATTTTAAATAAGATATTAGTTTATCAAATCAATATATAAGAAAAGATCATCAGGACCAAACTGAAATTTTCCCAGGGGAAAAAAAAATGTTTCTACATTAGAAAATCAATGGGATTCATCTATAAAGGGATTTTAAAAATAAAATAAAATGACCCACCTCAAAAGATGCAGAAAAAAATCCTAGCCAGTTCATTAAGACAAGAAAAGGAAATAAAAGTGTTAAGATGTAAGAATTAGAACAGAAGAAATAAAATCGTCATTCATATATAACTATCTTATAAAGAAATCCCCAAAGGATCTACTGCTATATCATTAAAAGTAATAAGATCTCAAACCAGTATACAAAAACAACTGCATGTTTGCACTTCCACACACAGTAAAAAAAAAAATGCAAATTTTAAAAGTTCATCACTTATAATACAATAAAAATTTAAAATACATCAGAATACAACAAAGATGCATAAGACGTTTATGGGAAAAAATAATAAAACTCACGTAAAGACGTTAAAGAAGGCTTAAACAAACAGACAGCTATACCATAAAGAGCTCAGAAGCAGAGCCCCGTCTATATAAAAAACAAATACAAAAGAAAAATGGTGTCACAGATCAACAGAAGAAGGATGATTTGTACCTGAGAAAACTGGGTCATTAGATGGATCTCTGCCTAATATTACACACAAAAACAGACAGCAGATAAATGAGAAATCTAAATGTTACGTGAAAACTATAAAGTTAACAGAAGTAAATGTATAAAAATATCTCTGTAACCTGGGGTGGAGAAGGGCATCTTATAAGGTGCAAAAGTAAAACCATAAGACAAAAAAAAAATTGATCTGTCTGATTACTCCAAAATTAACGATTTCTGTTTAACAACAGATACTATAAAGTCAACAATCAGATAATGGAACACGAGGAGACACTATGATGTCTAAAAATGAAAAAGGACAAATATCGAAAATATGTAAAAAAAAACCCTAAAAAGCAATGTGAAAAGAACAGCAATCCTAAGAAAAAATTATAGAAAACCTAACATTTAACTAGCATATAAAGAGATTTTCAGAAACATCTGTAATAATTAGAAAAGGGAAGATTAAAGCAAAGTACCACTTAACACCCAGTAGACTGGAAAATCTAGAAAGCTCGATGCTGATATTGTTATAGCAACATTGTAATGGCAAAAACAAACAACAATCAGAATCCCCCAAATGTTTGTCAGCGTGGAATACATAAATCATGGGAATTACTACTGTAGTAAATTCATCAGAATCCTATACCTCAGTGAAAACGAATGAAATATGACTACGTGCAAACAACATATGAATGTATGAATTCAGAATCCATACATACGAATCTCAGGATTTTAATGTTAAGTGAAAAGTAGGCTATAGAAAAACACATATGCAGTGTGATTCCATTTATATAAAGTTTAAAACCTTCCAAAATGAAGTAACATCTAATTATTGATTCTAACATATATAGTAAAATTAAAAAGAAAAGCAAAGGAATAATTAACTAGAATGGTGACTACTTCTGAGGGAAGTCATTTCAGAATTCAGAAAGACCAAAAGAAAAAAAGAGACCACGTGATCACTAGTTATTTACTAAACATTATGAATACAAAGAAATCAACAAAGGGCCACAAAAGATAGCAGAACTTGATATCAAATAAACAGTTCCCAACAATGTGTCTTGGCGAACCTCAAAGAAGAAACTGTTGACTGAGCACTTAGTGAGAAAGCCTTCCCAGGGAAGACACAGAACTTAAGAAGGCTCCTTTAAAACAGGTTTAGAAGACAAAAACAGAGGGACAGCAATGAGGTTCCATGCAATCCTGAGCA